GGCCACAAATTCCTCACCTTGTTACTTATGTGAAGAGAGAATGGTGTGGCCCTAAACATAGTATTGGGTTGGAGCTGCCATCATCTAGCAACGTACAGTCAGCCCCCATGTCCACGGATTTTTTTATCCATGGTTTCAAAATATTTTTTAAAAATATGTAACTTCCAAAAATCAAACCTTGATGTTGCCATTTTATACAAGGGTCAGCACTGTACTGTGCCTTTGTATTTAATGGGACTTGAGCATCCACAGATTTTGCTATCCACTGGGTGTCCTGGAACCAAACTCCAGAGAATAGCAAGGGCCCACTGTATACCAAATCCTTCAGCTGCATCTTCTTCCCACTGAAAGCTAAATCTCATCCCCAGAAAATTGCTCGCACATACCCATTAGATGTGAAACTTCAAGGCCTGAATCAAATTGTACGGCAAAAACCATAAAGAAAAAAAAGTCACGGCACACGCTGCAATTTTAGGGTGTCCAGTAGCTTTGCCGCTGAGAAATGCAAGGACAACACAGCTGCATATGTCTTCTTTTTTTTTTAATAAAATAAAATAAAATAAAATACATTTATCCAAAATTAGGAAGCCTTTTAAAAAGGGGTTGTTTCCTAGAATGGAATTTGAGATGCCAAGAATTGATCTTGTTTGGAAGCCTGTGATATCCCCTTGTTCGATAAGATGGTTAAAACAGGCAGAATATCCCTACTGAAGAAAATTCGTTAGTAAAAGAGACAAGCTGCATGCCTGTTGGGAGAAAGCCATTAAGAAGGAATTAGTTTAGGGAGAGGGTTGAGATTGGGATGGGATGGGCAACATTTGGGCAGTAGCAGGTTTGGGTCTTTTGGTTGTTCTTTTGCAGGAAAGGAATGATTTATCCAAGTGGAAACCACACTTACCAAAGGTATCTGAGCAGAACAGAATAAAAAGGAAACAGAAAAGAAAAAAAAAAGGGGGGGGGAATGTAAAAGGAGAGCGTTGTTATAAGCCAGTTGCTTAAAAGGAAAATTAAAATATAACAGAACACACATATATATGCACGGACAGACACGCACAACACGACAGAATTCACAGAGAGACAGGTTATATCATAGATAAAAGTCGAGATGTCGTTTTCTAAAATGGACACCGTTGCAAAACTAGGTGCGGGACAAAGTGAAAATTCATTCGGGGTCACTTTATTGTCATTGTCCTTTGCCAGGCTCACAGATTTTGGGAAGCAAAGTTTAGTGGTAGAACTTGGCATAAATAAGATCCTGGATTTAATGCCCCCCACACATCTCCAAGAAGGTCTGGATTAGACCCTACTATGCCAGAGACCCTGGAGAGTTGTGGCTATCCAGTTTAGCCGAAATTGGGCTCAAGAAACCAAAGACATGGCATTGGTAGAAGACATTTTCTTCATTGAATCAGACCAGAATCATGAGAAGTGGAGATTTAATTCATCATAACAAAGACAGGTCTAGCCATGTATGGACTAATTCCCAGTTATTGAGGATGGATGATGGGACATGGAACCAATTTTTCCATATAGAGATTATATCTCACCTAACCTACACCCTTACAATTCTAGTTGTTTGTTTTGAAAGGGAGAACACTGTTGCCAGGAGAGAAATACTATAACTTCTGTAGAAGTTGCACAGAAGAAAGGACACTTTAGCTATTTTTTAAAAAAATGTGCACTGTTACACATCAACACAAGAAATACTTACACACAAACACTGACACAAAACTAGGACCGTTTTGGAGGGACACGACACATCACCAATGGACGAACATGGAAGGTAAGGCCAGATTGAAAGACATCAAAGAATCTAAAGCAAATAACTCAAGATCTTAAGCACAGATGAATGGGCAGATGGACTGCCAAGGATGACAACTGATGTTCATCACAAAGGTGAGGTACACCTATCCAGAAGTACAGCTGGCCAGGCTTTCTCC